CTCTTCAATCAGGTGAGACTTCCTTTCGGCCCCAGGGAGAGGACTCAGATAGAGGCTCCCCCAAAAGACCCCTCCTCCAGGAAGCCTGCCTGGAACGTTTTCCCTTTTCAGCCTGACTGAACTCATCCGGTGCCTTGGACACTTAAACATACTGGCTGTCTCAGGTGCACTCGAGGCTCAGCGTACCCGTGCCGTGGAGGAGTCTGGCAGACCGGTGAGTGATGGCGGCCTGGAGCTTCCCCGGCAGGTGCGCTCATGCCTGGATAAGATGCCCCCTTCCTCCAGGAAGCCCCTCATGCCCAGACCAGGAGCTCTTGGAGGGCAGGGCCTGGGACTGAGCCCTTTCTCAGCTCTGGCAGGAATGACCCGATGGAGGAACAAGGAACGAGGGCAGAGAAAGAAATCCAGATTTGGCGGCGGGGGGAGGCGGGGGAACCCCAAGAGCAAAGGATGCTGGGAATCAAAATCAAGTCTTCAAAGAGGACCCGTGTTTTGCCAGGCAGGTTCCAGGGAAGGGAGAGGGGAGACACAGGAAGGGATCAAGCAGGAGGGTCACTGTCCACTGTCGTGTGGCCGCTGTAGGGCAGAGGTGGGTGAGGGGCCACAGTCTCTCCTGGGGACACTGGGGGGTTCCTGCGCAGGGGAAGTGTGAGGTCAGATCCTGGACATGCCATCAGCCAGAGCGGGGTTCACCGATGGATGCCACAGGCAGTAAACGAGCCTGGTTCTTGGTGGGGCTGGTAGATCTGGGCTCTAATCCCGGCTGGGTGATCCAACACCGCTCTGAGCCTCAGTGGCCCCATCCCTAAAATGGCAGCAGCATGCTCACTTTCAAGGCTGATGTGACGGAGGAACTGCTCTGGGGTGCCCAAACCGGAGAGGCACGAGGGGCCCCGTGCTCCTCTGCAACGCACGCGGTTGTGAGGACGGGCCCCAGGAGCAGAACTGACATTCCCCAAGCACCTAGGACGGGCCTGAAGCCGGGAGGCCAGGGGCAAAGCCCGCCACCCTCACGGCAGCTCAGGGGGCTCTAGGGACAGAGGCTTGGCAAGTGCCTGAGGCTTGACTACAGACATAGCTACATTGTTTCCAGGGGTGTGGGATTCCACGTGGGCTCCGCCTGACAGCAAAGGCCAGGCGCTTGCATCCGCACACACGAGTGGCTGGGCCCCAGGGGCTGTTTGGGTGGGACTTGAGTTCGAGAAGGGCTTTGCTCAGGACCTGGGAGAAAAGCTGCAGCAGGCAGGGCGAAGTAGCCAGGCCAAGGTGCAGAGAAGCAGGAGCTGAGAGCGGAGGAGGGAGTGGGGGGGGGGGGGGGGGGGGGGGGGGGGGGGGGGGGCTTTGGGCTTGAACCCCCCTTGCTGCTTCCAGCCTGAGGTCAGTGGTCAGAGTGGTAGTTTCATATGGCACGTCTGGTCTCCCCGCTCTGCTCTGCGGCTGAAAACCTGTCTGTGGCTCCCCGTCACTCTCCCATCCATCTGGTCCACAAAGGATTCTGGCGCGCCTACTGCATGCTGGTGACCTGGTCCCCCCCCCGCCCTCCCCCCCCCTCGGGTAAACCTCCTTTGGTCCCTAACCTCAGTGCCTCCAAGCTGTGCTGATGCCCAGGCCTCTGCTCAGAGCATCCTTCCTGCCTGGTGGGTGCCTTCACACTTGGCTCAGGTGACATTTCCTGTGAGAAGGCCTCCCTGACCCCAGGCCACGCTGAGGATCCCCGCAGCTCCCCGGGTGTCCCTCACCACAGCCCTGTCCCCGCTCTGGACATCCCTGCACACTGGCCACATCTTCGGGTGTGGAAGCTCCTGAGGGCAGGGGCTCGGGCAAATGCCGGGCAAATGCCGGGCTGAACCCGGCCTCGGGGCTCTTTTGAAAGAATGAGTGGAAAAGTGAGGCAGCGCTTGGATGAATGGAGGGGAGGTCAACCAGGGCCAGGTGCTGAAGGGCCTTGAATGCCAAGCCAAGGAACTCAGACTTCATCGTCAGCAGCTTGGAGCGTTCTCAGCAGGGCCCTGCTGCTCTTGGGGACACTTTAAGAGTTGTGGGAGCAAACGGGGCGGCCTGGGTGGCTCAGTCGGTTAAGTGTCCGACTTTGGCTCAGGTCATGATCTCACGGTTTGTGAGATCGAGTCCCATATCGGGCTCTGTGCTGACAGCTCAGAGCCTGCTTCACATCCTCTGTCTCCCTCTCTCTCGGCCCCTGCTGTGCTCACGCGTGTTGTCTCTGTCTCTCAAAAATAAATGAAACTTAAAAAATAAAAAAAGAATTGGGGAGCATTTTTGATTGTCCCGGGGATGGAGACTGGCTGGCATTGTAAGCGGGCTGCAGCTACCAATGTGCACACAAATAATCACCCTGATCAGAGCCCCCAATGCTCCCCACCAGACGCTCATTCACGCGATGTAACTGTTAGTAACCACTGGGATGTAGAGCCAACTTCTATCTTATGCATAGACAGAAAATAGATGTATTTTTTTTGCCTCGGCATCTTCCAGCAATGCAACTACCATGTGTCAAGGGGGATTTTAATTTCATTCAGATTTCACTAAGACTTGTTCATCAGTAAGAAAAAAAAAACAAAAACCTTGATGTTTATTTTTGAGAGAGAGAGAGACAGAGTGTGAGCAGGGGAGGGGCAGAGAGAGAGGGAGACCCAGAATCCCAAGCAGGCTCCAGGCTCTGAGCCGTCAGCACAGAGCCCGACGCGGGGCTCGAACTCTTGTGGTGTTAGTGTGGCCGATATGTCCCTTGA